GCCATTAGCCATCAGTATTTTTTAAAAGATGATAGATACAAAATTACTTTGCAGATAAAGGCACTGCATAAATTTGAGGTTTTGATATTTTCAAACAACCTCGTCCTCCAGCTTTTAAGGCAAGCGAAGTCATTTTATTTCTTACAGACAGATCTTTTTTATGGCGGTATCTTAGAAGTGCTCAGACCAGCTGAATGCCTAACCTGGCATTTCTAAATGTGCTGAGAATCAACAACAGACTAGTCTGAAATTTGGTATCACCGGCTAAGGACACAACGAAGCCAGTGGCAAAGGCTGCAGTAATCGTTCTCGACCGGTTCAGAGAAAAACAGTTTAGTGAGTGAGAACATTCTTCAGCTTTTAAAAATATGCTGGTACGTTTGTTTGTGAACATTGCACAGCCCTTCTTTGCCCTGGTGGTTACCACAGTGACTCACTTGATGTTTATGGCATGGCGGATGACAGGGCTGTTCCCTCCACTCGAGGAGTGTGCAGGACTGTGCTCCCTGGCACCCCAGCAGACGGGGTTGCTGGCTCCTGGGCAATGAGGCGTATGTAGGGTTTGAGCCACACGCCTTTCTTTGTGGTTCATCCTGACTGCACATCAGGCACTGAAGACTTCTCAAGTGTTACTCCACTGTCCTGTTTGCCAGTTTGGCAGCAGGATTTCATTCTAATAAGAGAAGTTTCTCAGATGGAGATTCCAGATGTGTCTAAGCTGCTTTTATTAGGACAATGGAAAGGTCCAACCTTTTCTTCTAAGTACAATCAAGAGTAGTGTGTAATTTTACAAAGAGTTGTATTACGTAGTGTGTAATTTTACAAAGAGTTGTATTACGTAACTGGAAAATTGTCTCCCTGGGCACAGAGAGAATTTGTTAGCCCAGAAGGCAGCTTGGAATAATGCTGACGTAAAGCTTCAATTCAAGAGAGAAACCTTTTAAGTTGCTGAAATGTAGTAGAGAGGAAGAAGGAAATTGCTGTTTTACATGACTGACCAAAATGCACTGTAATTATATCAACTTGAAACAGATTCCTTAGAAGAACTGATAACTCTGTGATCCGAACAAGTCATGTGTAGTAGAACTAAATACTGCATGTACTTTCTCTGCAAAGTGTAGACACGCCGCATTTGAGATGGGCAGTAGAAGAGACAGCTGTACTTGCCTTAGCCTGCTTAATGGGACCTCCAGCTGGTTTAGCCTAGTGAAGAATGGCGGGTGGCTTTACTGAGGAATTAGTATTTACCCTGCCTGCCCATCCTTTTGCACTGCTTTACCACACAGCTTGCGGACGCTCCTCATGTAATGTTATTTTGATGTCACCACTCCTGTTTGTAATTAACACAGTGTCACTCATCGGTCAGTTTCTAAGTGGAACACTCACTCCTTTTGGATTCCATTCACTGGTCTTGTTGCCTGTTCTAAAGTGGGTGGGTAAAATTTAATCACAGATATTTAGCCCAAAGATAGCCTTCCCGTTTTCCCTCTTTGCTCCAGTGTCTCCACGTAGTGGTATTTTCTGTCAGCTACAGTCCACCCATAGATAGGAGATCATCTCCAAGAAGAGTAGTAATGGTATTTACTCAGTGCCAGGAAAACTCCTTGGGCTGACACTGGATACTCTGAAACACTATTATTACTTTCATATGGTAATCATCTATTTGCATAGCTCCTTCACCTAACTAGAAGCACAGGATTGTGTCTTATTTCTTTGTAATGCCCCAAATAGTGGATACCTACTACATACTAAGTGTTCAAGAACTCTTATTAACTGAATGAATGGCAGATTAGAACTAGTATCTGTCAGATTCTACACAAAGAAAGAAATTGCAGCTAACAAGTAAAGTGCCTAGACTCCCAATAGCAAGGTTAGATGACTAGTTAGTTATGAAAGAACTGTAGTCCGTATTCATCTTGGTGTAAGCTGACGGAAGACCTTCCTCAGTGTCACCCAAGCACACAGACATCATAGACAAAGCCGATGTCTCTAACTTCAGCAGTGAAAGTGGGGCTAAGGTCATTTTTCTAGACATTGGGATGCACTTGCTTTGGTCCCTCTGCTGACTCATCTATAGTCCCTTCTAAGACCAGGGTCACATAACTGGGAGATGGCCTCACTGAAATACTCAGATGAGGAGCAGGAAGCGGTCAAATGGTCTCTACTGGGCTTTTTGACTTTATCTCATAAATTTCCTCCCCCAACCCACGCAGGTCTCCACTTGAGCAACTGAATTCCACAGCAGAGTCCTATTAACACCTGTCCTGAAGGAAACGTGGGAGGTTGCCGTGCCGGGGGATCTCTTTCTTCCCTTCTCTTGAAAGGACAACTTTTCCTCACTGGCCTTTGTTTCTCTCATTTCCCCACCCGGAATGCCTTTTCCTGCTTACTCTTTTTGCCTCTGAATCCTATAAGACCAGCTCAAATCCCTTCTCCTTCCTGAAGTCCTTTCTGACCCTCTGCAGAAATCAGTAATTGCTCCCTCTGATGAACACCTGGGCTATTTGGGGCTGGTGCTACTTGACATTGTGGATATTTTTCTTTATATTGTAAATTATTTTTCTCATTTATGTATTTATTTATTGTGACTCTTGACAGTGAAGGTGATACTCTGAGTTTTTTAAAACCTGTAGATCTTATTTCATGTGATGGTTATTTTAAAAATACTTGGTAATTTGGGAAAAAAGCATCTAGAAAGGAATTTGATGGAGGTAAGTGAACTTAATGAAAATTATTACTGATATGAGAAAAATCTACAAGCTATTATACTTTTATAATATATAAAACTATTTTAAATTATTTTCCTAAAAGAACAGTTAGAGAATAATGTTGGACTTCCCGACTAAGACCTAAGAAAATGTTTCATACTTAGCAATGAATATAGGTTACAAATACGCAATTGCAGAGATGGAGATTCTTTTTCACACAAGAATCAATGTCATATTTTGGAAATCACTCCCTATGTTATTTGTAGTATAAACAAATTTTATGCAAAGTTATTTGTTGTGTAGGTGTACATATGTTTTCTCATTGTACAATTTTGAGTTTAGTGTTAATTCATTTGTATCCAAAGTACCAAGTTATCTCATCTATTTGCAGTAGTCCAGAAATACCAAACATGGTCCATCTACCTGACCATGAAATCATGTTCTTGGTTCTAGACAGAACTGCTTACTGAGCCTTCTGGGCCAGTGGTTATGCCTACACCAAATGTACCTCTAGATCCGGAACAGTTTAAATGAGTTAGCTGTATTTGTCCATGATCTTCTGATGAGTTCAATACAGTTTAAATCTTAGAGATACAGTTCTTATCTAAAAACTAACCTTCTAAAAATGATCATGCTAATAGAGGTTTAAGTTTGACAAAACCATTATGGAGATGAATATTTAGGACGTTTTAAATTTTGGCAATAGTAGAATATTGCTTGCTGGGTTGAAGAGGATCAAGAGGGTGTCGTGTTGAATGTATCATAAAACACAGACACACACAAACGCGCGCGCGCGTTTATTTAAAGAGAAAAAGGATTACCCAACAAACTCACCCCTTTCTTTACATTCCTGTTGCCTCCATTGATATTTTGGCATTATCTTCACCAGGATTATTATATGGCTTCCATGGTTGTTTCGCCTCCATATTCCCATTCCAGTCCATGCAGTCAGGCAATAAATATTTCTGTAGGTATTTGTATGTGTTCTGCTGGGAGAACTGTGCTGGAATACTCAACTTCCTCATCTCAGAATGGCTACCCTCCTGCACAATTATGTTCAGCAACTCTCTACAAAATCAAATATAATCCAGCCTCACTTTCCAGTTTTATGATATACTCATTCCTTTCATATGCCCAACAGCTTCAATCAAAGCAAAATAGTCACCCTTTTCTGTGATATGTCAGTTTTCAGCATAATTCCCTGGGGCCTAGAACCATAAAATACATCGTTCTTAGAGGTAGAAGTGTTCATATTATAAATCCAACAATCTGAGAAAAGCATCTTAAAGTAGATGATAGAAGAGGAGTTTTTGAAAAGTTCTTTTAAAATTTTTTGGTAAAATTGTGGAAGGAAGAACAGAAGGGCCTTCTTAACTCAGAATTGGGACAAGGAAGTTAAACACAAGTAGTGAGCAGACTAAAGAAACCCCAAAATGGAGAACAACTGGGGTGTAGGGAAATGAGAGTACTTGTCATAAATCTCTTTAGAAACAAACCCCAAAGTAAAATACATAATGAATAAGTTAAGACCCTCACGTTGGGAAACTCCCAAATTTTGAAGGTTAGAGTCGCGAGATGCATGATCATAACCAAAAAGAAGAAGAAAAAAAGAATTTCTCTTTCTAAAATGCCATACATTTTTGCCGAGCGCCAACTGCATACCGGACACAGTGCTTCTGTGAAAATTCAGGAAGCCTGAACATAATGACAAGCTCTGTTCCATCATGAAGTAGAAGTAGGGATTGTGAACTGTATCACAATACAACTGCAACTCTTGCTCTCGGCACAGGCTCCTGTCTACCAGAATGAATTCCAAATTCACAATCAGGATCAAAGTTAGGCCATATTAGCTGCTCTGTATTTTTAACCTTTGTATTAAATTACCATCAAGGGGGCACTAATTAAGATAAGAAATAGAGCTACTTATTTGTTTCATATGCACCTTCAGATTTCTGAATTATACATTAAAACAATCTATGACATCTGTGTATGCTTTCCATAAAAGAAAAAGGCATAAATGCCTCGGGGTGCATCTGCCTGGCTAAGAAACAGATGAAAAACCTCTCTCTATAGTTTCTATTAAAGTACAGAGAAATATAATTTTAAAGGCTACAAAAATAATGTAAAGATTATATAAGGCAAATATAGCAATAAAATCTAGAGCAAAACCCAGAATATTTTAGATTAACCCGAAAAGGCTAAGTTTCCTAAGACTTTGAAAAATGAGGAAAGCCATTTGGCAAAATCCTTAACTTGGAATTTTTTTTTTTGTTTGATTTATTTTCCTCCTAGGTTCCAGATTCAGAGATGTGCAACTGATCCAAACAGTTATAAAAGCTTGGGAGACAGCTTTCGAACAATTTTCCGAATAGAAGGGTATGTACGGTTCTTTGTGTCTGAACTTTATGTTGATATAAGTGTTTGACATATTACTACATAACATGTTTTTCTCATTTTGAATGGCTCATTTTCCTAGTGTTATTAGAGGAAAATATTTAAAAGGGTGCCTTCCTACTTTTTTGTGTGTTTTTCCTGATAATACAATTGAAAACTAAATATGTATACATAAGAACTACGACAAAAATTATATTAATAATCAGTTTGCTGACTAGAAGACAATTTCTATTTTGTGCCATTGAGATTTTTTAAAGTTCTCATAACAGCAGCTATCTAAATGTAATAGTTCTTTATTTTGATTCTTGAATATAGTGTCCAAATGTGTTCCTTATTTGCATTGTGGCTTATGAATATTCAAAACAGAACTATGTCAAAAATTGATGTGTCAGATTTGTTATCCTATCTACTAGCTGATCAGATAAAAATATTTTTTTACATAAGCTAAAATGGTCTTTGATGTATAGATTCAGTTAAAGACTCCAGCAAAATTTTCCAAAGGATATTAGATTTGCTTTTTGAAGTTGTTTTCATAAGAGAAGTGGTTGAAAGTAATAAGTATGTAAAAAATGATAACAGTAATAATAATAGCTGGTATATACTTAGCCTCTACTATGTGCTAGAAATTCTGCTTATAACTCTGTGAGGTAGGTTCTATTAGAATCCATTTCAGTTGGACAAATGAAGAAACCAAGACTCAGAGGAATTAGTCATTTTCGCATATCTGATAAATAATGGAAGTGGGACTCAAATCCAGGTCTGCTTGACCTCAAAGCCCATACTCCTAACCTTTGTAGTTCACTACCTCTCTTGGCAGATTATACTATGGTCAATTGTTTCTTTCAGTTAAACATATGTCATGGATGTCTTTCCGTGACAGTATATATATTTTTAACAATACCATAGTAATTTTTGTATCTACATTCTGCAATTTATTAAATTAAACCCTTTGGCAGACCACTAGGTTGTTTGCAGATTTTCCCTAATAGAAACGATGGTGCAATAAATATCCTTATACTATTTCTTCACATTTGTGTGCACATAAATTTTTTTTTATAAAATAAGTTGCTAGCTATGGACATACAGGATCAAATGATATGCACATTTTATAAATGTTACCCAATTATCTTCCAAAAAGTATCAGTATTTGAGAGTTCTCATTTCTCCACACCCTCTCAAACACTGGACAATACCAATCATTGTTTGGTATATCTGTCACCCACATGTATCTCCTGTTAATAATCTAACAGGTGAAAAATAAAATTGTCTACAAGCATTATTTTGATTGTAACTGGGATTGAACATACTTTTATAACCATTAGTTGTCATTTCTTTCAAGAATTTCTTATTTGTGTTCCTTGCCCATTTTTCTTGGGTTAGATTTTTTATTGGTTTGTAGGTGCTCAGTATATATTATAGGTACTAATTCTTTAACTATGACATAGATTACAAATATTTTCCCAATTTGTCATTTTTCTTAGAGCTATAGTGCCTTACACCTTTCAGAACCTTGACGTTTTTGAAGATTGTGGTTTTGTGATTACATCTATCTTTTCCTTTGTGATATCTGACCTTGTCACATTAGAAAGAAGGATGTCTTCTAACCCCAAGATTATAAACATTTTCTTCTGGTATGTTTTACATTTATATCATTAATCCATCTGAGGATTTTTTTTAATGCACTGTGTGGCATATAGGAATTAAATTTTATTTTCAAATGGTTAGTGAGTTGTCCAAACACCACTTGTTGAAAAATCTCGCTTTTATTCCCTTATTGGAAATCCTAGCTTTTTTGTATATTAAACTTCCACAAATACATCATCTAAATTTTCTAGTCTGTTTCTCCATTTCCTATTCTGTTTTATTAGTTTATCTCTATGCCAGTATCACAGTGTTTTAATTCATTTACTTTTGGAGTATTTGGGTAATATATAAAAATATGCCCTGCAGTAGAAAGCCTAAACCTATTTTTTTCTTTTTTTTTTTTAGGACTTTATTTATTTGAGAGAGAGAGAGAGAGAGAGCACGAGCATGGGGAGGGGCAGAGGGAGAGGGAGAAGCAGGCTGCCCGCTGAGCAGGGAGCCTGATCTGGGGCTCCATCCCAGGACCCTGAGATCATGACCTGGGCCAAAAGCAGACGCTTAACCGACTGAGCCACCCAGGTGCCCAGAAAACCTAAACTTCTTACTGTGGTACAGTGCCCGTGCTACTCTGGCCCTCCTTTCTTCTCCTGGCTCATTGCCCATACATAGATCTGCTCTAAGGATAGCAGATCTGCTCACATTCTTGTAGCTTTACATGCTGGTCGTTATCTTATTCCTGCAGGACCGACCCCTTCATCCACTCAAGAAACCATCCCTCTTCATTCAAGGATGCCCTCACATTTCTCTCTCTGACCATCTGTTTCTCTACCACACGCTTTCTTTAGTAGTCATTCTTATGTGCTATGCAAAATATAGCACGCACCTCTCTAATTTACTGTGGCTATTTTCTGTCTCCTCTCTCCCACCTCAAGAATATATTTCCTTAAGGGCCATTTTTCATTTAGCTCTGTATCTCCCGTGACTGTGTTTAGCACTGAGTAGAGATAGTAAGTACTCATTAAATGAATACAAGTCATCACATCAAAATCATAAGGATGCAAAATGAAACAGAGATAATAATTCTTGCTATTGACCACCCCCTCTGAAGTTATGATAATAATCTTGATAACTGATTAAATATTTTTAGGTGACCTAGTGACATAGAATCAGCAAATTCTTGCTAGTACTCTCGTGATATGGTACCTAAATGCCATGCATTAATGATACACCTGCATCTGTGACAACTGGAATCAAAGTCATGTTCATTTTACCCAGAATATATGTAAAGTTAAAGAAATCATAGTGCATTATGTAGTCAATAGCAGTGTCCCTTTCCAGTAAAACAGTAGTAGCAGCATTTCCAAGTTCTGTAAGCTGCAACAGGTATCTCTGAATTGGATGTGGGAGTTCCTTAGCCAGGCTCTTTATTTCATGTGTGTTAGGAAGAATTTGATGTTCCTGCTTTGATATCAAGTAATACAACAAACAGACAGCATGTGTGGTCCTTGCATAGTAAAATTGGCCTTTTCCTAGACTGTATGTATAATTGCTTCTAGAGCAAATTGACATTCTTTCTGTAATGCCTTTAGATCTGGACATGTTATTAGCCCAAAGCTGGAGAGCTCTAGTCTCAGAGATGGAAATATTTGTAAAAATACAAAAGAAAAAACTTCCTGTTATCTTTGATACAGAGCAAAAACATTTCATAGTGTTAAGTTAAAAAAAGAAAAGAAATCCTTTTAGCACAGTTCGGTTGAATCTTTTTCCTAGTGGAAGCAGTTCCTTTTCATTTTCTTATTTAGCTTTTAGAGTACACTCTGCTTTCAAAGATATTTTTCTCACTCAGGTGCATCCCGGCCAGTCTGGTCTGTTGCTACAGGAACATAGTGCAAGTCAGTGTGACTATTAGCATAGTTAAGACAAGTCGTCTCTCCTGGTTTTTCCTATATTCCCCAAGTTAAAGGTTTTGAAAGCTATTTCTTTTCTTTTGTTTAAGAGCATTAAAGTCTGATCATACTCTTAATGTCTGCACAGATCTCCCATTTTCCTCCCCGCCGTAAGAAAGGGAAGGGTACTCGTCACCATCCTGAGAAATGCAATTCCCCACTTCTCTGCCCAGAATTCATGTTTACAAGGGACTGGGGCTCAAATACATGGGTCCAAGTCCCTTAACCACTTCTAAGGTTCTTTTAAGAAGCAAAAGCATCGATATATTGTACTTAATGAAAGACAGGGTTTTTCAACCCAGCTTTACCCCTGCCCCCCCAAAAACGTCCTTCCAAATGCTCTGCAAGGATTTCTCTTATATGGAATCCTCATACCATATATATTTACCAAAGAGGCCATCGTTGTTTTGTCTAATGGAGAAGAGAGAACTCACAGGCAAGGAATTTGTCACTGTTGCGAGTCCTCCATTGTCACCATGATTTTTTCATCTTATTTCAGTTTGGTAAAAATAAACCCATAGGTCCATCTACGGAAATAGTGAGCCCAGAACAAATTTAGCCTACCTGATTAGGTGCCTTTAAAACCAATTAGTTTCATTTTGTAAATTCTCCCGCCAAGTAGCAGCTGGTGTCCCCATTTACTGTGTGTTCCTGCATCGCTTCTTCCTTCCTTCTGCTTCAGAGTATCTCCTGAAAGTTTTTCTAGTCTCTTTTGTACCTGTTGCTCTAAAGAGAGTGGTGGAGATGCTCACAGATGGGCTTGTAAATTTTGCTAATGTAAAACCAGGACTGCCTGTCCCCTTACTCTCCCTCTTCTGAAAGCACCTAGTGACCATTCTTGCTGAAACAAAGAGGAAAAAGAATAAAACAGAACTTAAGATATTCCCGTGACATAGGTAAAGACAGATGTGAAACTAATACTTTTTTTTTTCAGTGTAACAGGCATGATGCTGGGGACTTTTTCATATATTATTTCATATATTATTTCCAATGCAACACTATTCTGAACACAACATAGCGTTATGTCTGTATTTTGTATGAGGAAACAAAAGATCAGAGAAGTTAAATAACTTGCCCAAAGTCACACAAGTATTAGTGGCATGTCATGGTTTTCCCATTATATTATATCACCTTTCACTAAACACCTAATTTTGTTATATACTAAATGAAAAGAAGACAATGTGAAAGTAGTGGCTATAAACCCCTAAGTTTTTTCTTTATTTTTAAAGATTTTATTTATTTATTCATGAGAGACAGAGGGAGAGAGAGAGAGAGAAGCAGAGGGAGGAGCAGGCTCCCAAGGAGCAGGGAGCCCGATGCGGGACTTGATCCCAGGACCCTGGGATCATGACCTGAGCCGAAGGCAGATGCTTAACCATCTGAGCCACCCAGGCGCCCTAAACCCCTAAGTTTTAAATAGCTATTCTAAAACTTGCAGTATTCCTACCCTCA